CAAATAGAGACATTTCAAACTGCAAGGGACTAGGACCTCTTCACTGGTCGGTTTGGGCGACAAGGGACACAGACGACACTACAGAAATGAAATGTATTTAATAATAAATTTTAACAGTGAATTTTGGACGTGACAAGACCAATGAGTACGTGGAACAATTCATAAATGTAGTCTGATGGATGCGATTTACATTGTTCTTGGGGTGTTTACACCCTAATGTAGATGACGGTCTCAGAAATCATGGAGGCAGTACATAACAGGACTGGTTTTCATCCTTTGTGCTAAGGAATCTGTAGAATGAATGGACATATCCCGCTATATGTACTCGCCGGACATGCTGCGTAACAAGCACGTTCTAAGGACGTCATAGCAAGTTTCAGCTTCAATGGGATGGGATCATAGAAGGAAAGTCTTCAAACAGCTCCTTGTTAAACCGTTCAACCAATAATGTATCATTTCAGAGGAGACCTGCATTCTCAACTTTCTCAGATATCGTGTCCAGATTTTTCTGCAAATAGAATTGATGTCTTCTGTCCCAGTTAAGTGAAAATGTCATGAGGAGACATTTGACATTTTCAATGTTACATTACACACACTAGATCTTAAAATACTTTGTTACAGGTGTTTTAAGCTCTTGTTCCGAGGAAGTCAAGTTTTACTATAATGGTGTATACAGTGTCCCAAAAAGATATATACACATAGAAATGATGTGGTATCAATAAGATGGGGCACCCCCACATTACCATAGGAATGTCAGGGCCTATCTTGACATTGCATTTCTTAACTGATGGATAGGATGCAGAGGATTCACAGAGTACCCCCTACGATTGCAAGATTTAATTCCGAATGTCTTTTTCTTGTGGCGTTACTTGAAGGACGTGGTGTACACGAAAAAGCCAGTAAAATTTCAACAGCTCCTGCAAGAAACTGAATGGTCTTGGGCACCCATATCAGCCACAACTTTGGTGGCCACTGGTCAGTTAGTTGCTTACCTCTGTCTAGAATGCCACAATGAAAATGGTGGTCATTTTGAACACCTACACAATATCAGCTAACTCACTAAGCACCTATAATAACGCATGTAATGGTTTTGTTTATTAAAATGTCTATTTCATTCACTGAATGTGTATATACATCGTTTTGGGACACCCTGTTTTTTCTACTCTGTTAACCTTGTCCACTTCATGTCAGTATTTCAGCTCCCAAGTTAACACATGTCAATACCACAGACAACAGCCAGTTGGGAGCAGAAATGATTAACTGCTCACAAAACAATGTGAAAATCAAATCTGGAAGAAAACATGTTTCAAAATTACAACATATTATCACAACACGCAGGTACTTACCGACTGGTCCGATATCCGCTTTCCAAATATGAGATATTCATGTTTGTGTTCATCGTTATCACGTGAAATATCGCGTTTACGGACAGACACGTTGGATAAGCCCCCTCCCCCCATGGGGACCCACCCGCCCGTGCTGTCATCGCGCATCATCACCTGAGCACGCACCCTAACCACATGGTTGCCACTGGAAACAGAGAACCAAATCAATGAATTACAATCACCAGACGAAACAGATACCACTGTAACCTACACACTACACTAATTTCAGGTTTCATTTATTACTAGTTGCAACACAAAATATTCCAGCCTAGTACACATCATCGAAGTGCTGTAAAGATGTATCACACCTGTAAGACTTGAGGTTTTCACACAGGTGAGTATGAAGATTTCCATCTTTTGGGTTGTTGCACTGTGTAGTCTGGTCGATGTTAACCAACGTTTCAGAGGTCATACTGCCTCCGTCATCA